GTTTAATTTAGTATATTGCTTTTTTTTTTCGTGTTTAATAATAATGTTTATTAACTATGAATGGGGTTAGCAGAAGCAATTGGCAAGCATGGTGGAGAAGGCATCAATAGAGGACGTGATGAAGGTTTTGATAGCTTCAAGAAAGCAAGACTTGCAGCAGCTGTGGACCACTTGCTCTCAACTGGTGGCGAAATCCGGCCTCCCCCCGGAAGTGTTGGCCAAACACCTCCCCATTGAGGTGGTGGCCAAGATCGAGGACCTCCGCCTCAAGTTCTCCATCACGCGCCGCCCTCTCTTTTCTCAACACCACCACCACCACCCCGACTTGGCCGACGTGGAGGACCAGAAGATACGCCGCATGCGGCGTGCCCTCGACTCCTCCGACGTCGAGCTCGTCAAGCTCATGGTGATGGGCGAAGGGCTGAACCTCGACGAGGCGTTGGCCTTGCACTACGCGGTCGAGAACTGTAGCCGCGAAGTCGTCAAGGCCCTGCTCGAGCTCGGCGCGGCAGATGTCAACTACCCCGCCGGGCCCGCGGGGAAGACGCCGCTTCACGTCGCCTCCGAGATGGTGTCCCCCGACATGGTCTCGGTCCTCCTCGACCACCACGCCGACCCCAACGTCCGGACCATTGACGGGGTCACGCCTCTCGACGTCCTCCGGACCCTAACCTCCGATTTTTTATTCAAAGGTGCCGTCCCGGGGCTGGCCCCCATCGAGCCGAATAAGCTCCGGCTTTGCCTTGAGCTCGTCCAGTCGGCCGCCATGGTCATTTCAAGAGAAGAAGGCAACGCGGCGGCCGCCAACCCATCCTCCGCCGCGGCCGCCGCCATATATATGCCGATCAGCGAAGAGCACGCGCCGAACATGGGAAGCAGCAGCGGTGGCAACCGGGATTCGAGATCAATGGGGTACCTCCACCTCGGGGCCGCCGCGGCTGCGGTGGCGCAGCAGCAAATCCACGACGGAGACCAAAGCGGCGGCCGCCACAACCGACAGAGCGGTGGCTGTGATCCATCCTCAGTCTACCACCATTCTCACCAGGAGTATTGAGTGTGTTATTCGGATCTCAGCTTCCTTCTGCTCACCTTCAACCTGAATTCATCGAATTAATTGATTTAAAAGCCCATATATATATTATTATGCTCAGATTCATGAGGTTTAATTTATTTATTTATTTGGGAAACATTTATTACTTTGCCAAAGATTCATATTTTGATAATGATCAAATGGACCTCATGAATGAAAGTAGTGATGTTATTCCACCAACTTTCAATGCATCATCTTATGCGGCATTTCTTCTTTTCTTTTTCCTATTTTAACATTGGTTAATTTTAATAGTATAGAGAGAACCTTAATTTTTTTTGATAAATCCATTTCTAGCTCAAAGATTATGTCATACTTCAAAAGTTTACACTTATATTTTGTATCAATATAAGTGCGATATTGATAACTTACATTGAAATAAAATCTTAGCACAAAATTTTACAATCATATTAATAATTTGTATTAGTGTAAGTCATCAAATGTAACTAAAAATCTCTAAGATATTCCTTCCGTCCCATAAAACATTACTATCTCCGTCCTAGGGTATTTGTCCACTTTCATTTTTACACACCATCCAATACACTTCTTTAATCCATTTTATCTTGTAATTAATATATTAAAAGTTATAGAAATTATATATGTTAGACAAAAGTGCAACTCTAGAGGGGGGTGAATAGAGTTGTTTTCAAGAATGTACGTTTTTCGTAAAAAATTATCGCAGGAAAAAGTAAGGAGAGTAAGGGAAAGAAGAACACCGGGATTTATACTGGTTCACCACCTCGTGGCTAGTCCAGTCCTCCGAGAGACTCTCTCGAAAGTCCTACTAATCTTCAAGCTTCAACGGGTGCTTGAAAAACCGATACAACTTGAGAACTTGAATCACACAAGCCTCACTTTCTTACAACAACAAGACTTGAGTCACACAAGTCTTAAGAACAACACTCAAATGAAATTGAGTTTACAACACAAGAATGAAAGCTCACACAATTGAGCATAGTAGTGTTGAAAGATTTAAGCTCTATGGATGACAACTTCTATAGCACTCAAAGAAAAAATATTTCTAACTTTCAAAAATAATATTTTGATGAGGAAAATGAAGCAAAGTATGAATAGCTCAGAAAAATATGTTGGAGTGCAAGAGGTGTATTGAAATGAAGGAGAATGAGGGATTAAATAGGCTGAGAAAAATAAAGCCGTTGAAGAAAGCTGATGTTCTGTACCAGAGAGAATTAATCGATTAAATTAGGAATTTTAATCGATTAAAGTGTACAGAAGCGAAAAGCCTAAAAAGAAAGCTGAATAATAATCGATTAAATGAAGGCAAATAATCGATTAATAGGCTCTGTCCGAACTAATCGATTAAATGCTTAGAAATAATCGATTATTGTTCAAAAATGAGCAGCCCTATAGAAAGGCTTAAAAATCGATTAAAATGAAGCAAATAATCGATTAGGAGGTACTGTCCAAGCTAATCGATTTTTTTAAGAGAAAAAATCGATTAAGAATTCAAATGCGCTGGATCTAATCGATTATTTTAAAGGAANGAGAATAAGAAACGCTCCTACGATTAAATCTCCCTTATTCAATTAATTTGAGTAGGGGAGAGAAAAAGAGAGTCCAAAAATTATTTTGTGTGTCAAACAATACACGAAAAAATATTTAAAGTATATTTTCTCACCAAAGAAAATTGTGTAACTTTAAGAAAATGTTTAAAGAAATTTTGACACACTTATTTTGAGATTGACTCACTAAAATATTTTAGACAGAGAAAAAATGATTTTTCAACTGACTCAAAAATAATGTTTATCCCTCAGAAATTCAATTGTTTTGTGCAAAAGATATTGTCATCCTTACAAAAATCCTAGACTCAATAAAAATTAAAAAGTCTTCGGAGTCTTCACATCAATTAAAAAATCTGCGTAGGGGTGATCGTCAATTTTCATCGCCGTAAACTTCTTGATACGCCTCTTTTCTTTTCTCGGTACGAAAAGTAAATTTTCGATCATCGTTTGAATTTCATCATCCTGTTTGTCATTTATCAAAACAAAAAATATTCCAGAGAAAAATAATAAAGGGGTTTGAACTCATGTCCAACAATATATTAATAATCTATATGTTAAGACAAATCAAACAAGATCACACATGACTATATTTAGGCTTACACATTGAGAAAATTTGATGAGTCAAAGTGCTTAGATGAACAGTTTCAAAAATCAAAACTGGACGAATACTTCGGGACGGGGGAGTATTTGTTTTGATTTTTAAAAGATTTAAGAGAAGTATAAAATGCCATTGGATGTGATTAGGAAAACTAGATGTGATGTTAGATTTGTAGTGAAAAGTGTGATGTGATAGGTAGGTTAAGAATTAATATAGGTAAAAGTAATTTTTTAATATAAATGAATTTTTTTTTAGGACGAACGATAAAAAGGAGAAAAGTGTTGTAGGAGAGAGGGATTATATTTTATGCTACAAGTGATACAGTGATACACTTAGCATGTACTCCCTCCGTCCTAAAATTAACTTCTCATTTGACTTTTCACGATCTCCAATGCGACACTTTGACCATCAATATCTTAATTTTTATATAAATATATTTTATAAAAATTACATATTTCAAAACTATATTTTAAAATGAATCTATTGCTAATAAATTTATATGAAAATTCAATGTATTTTTTCCGTAATAAACGGTCAAAGTTTAAAAAGTTTGAATACAAAAGTCAAACTGGAAAGTTAATTTTAGAACGGAGGGAGTAATTTTTTTCCATAAAGATAAAGTGAATAGTTTTTTCACAATTCCCTTCGCCTAACTCAAACACCAAAAGTGATCGGTTTGCACCAAGTTATTACTCGTTTTAACCACTGACCATATCCAATCATTCATATCAACTCAAATTCAAAATGCAGTTTACATAAATTCCCCACTAACCTATTACACCAAAATTAAAATACGGAGTAACATTTTGAGAATATGCTCTTTTTGTTATTCCCTATTATATTTTGAAATTAAAAAATAAATGTGAATTATAAAAAATCAATAAGCTATAAAAATGTAAGTAAAAAGATTAAAAATACTACTCCCTCCGTCCTAAAACTTTCTTTCTGTTACGCAAAACGAAGAAAAATCACAAGTTTTTTCAATCTATTTTATTTAAATATTGGTATAGAAATAAAAAATATATTTACAACTAGTCACATCATACTTTGACCCATCACATCAAGGATATTTTTTGAAAGTCAAAACAAAATTATCTTTCCCTTAAATTTCCTAAAAGTCAAAATAGGATCATATTTATGGGACGAAGGAAGTACTCCCTCCGTTTGAAGAAACCCTTCCCATTTTGATTTGGGGCAAAAATAAGAAAGTGTTAAATTATAGTTGATTTCCAATTTTGCCCCTGATGTGATGCATAAAGTAAGATGTGATGGATAAATTATTAGAGAAAAAGTATGATGTGATAGGTATGATATGAAAAAGCGAGGGTAAAAGTGAGTTTTTAATAAAAAAGGAAAGTGTTTTGTTAGAAGAGGAAAAAATGAAAGAGGAAGTGTTTTTGAGAACGGAGGGAGTATTAGTTTTTGTAGTAAGGAAATGTGCTTTATTGTGAATTAAATTAGTCCTTTATGAAATACTCCCTCCGTCCCAAAAAGTTTGTTACGTTTAGAAAAAATTGCGTCCCGTAAAGCTCGTTATATTTTTTTAAAAAAATCACTTTTACCCCTTACTTTTTCATACCCTACCTATCACATCATACCTTTTTTCTAATAATCTACCCATCACATCCTACTTTTACCCATCACATCAAGGGTATATTTGGAAAGTCAATACCAAAATATTCCTCCCTTAATTTCCCAAAAAGTCAAACCTTCCCATGCTTTTTGGGACGGAGGGAGTATGTATCTACTAAAATTTAAAGTTATCATGTTAATAGTCACAAAAACTAATATATGGGTTCATTGCTCTTGCGTCATTTAATGTGATAACTCAAACTTTAACAACTAAATTTTAATTGAAGGACTAATTTAATTCAAATTTTCTAGTTAAAATAATTTGACTCAACCAAACTCAGAGCATATGCTATGGGGCTTGACCTGCGCCGTGGTAAACCCGGTCACGCCCGTCACGGCGTATAACTTGATCGCAACCACAGGCGTTGCCCTCCTCGTTTCCGGCGATGAACGTTGCGAACAGCCATTTTTTGGTCTGTTGGGCATTAATACTAAAAAAAGTTCTTATAAATTTATCCAAATTTTTTTTCCAAGACGCATCTTTAGTTTTTCATCTCTTCTTCACATATTCAACCTTTGTTCTCATCTTCAAGTCTAATAATGATTTTTATTAAGATCATTGATCCGAATCACCAAAAATTTTCGATTCCCAATATTTTTTAATTGTTATCGACTCCAAATCGATCTAAACAATCCAAATTCTCTTAATTCATAGACAAACGCTACATATAATCACCCACATTGGTTCCAATTGGGGCAATTTCCTACCCCACCGTTCCAACTCACCCCCGACTACGAGAACAAATACGTTCCCGAAACCCAATTTGAAGCATCTCCTCAATCCCAACCTGGCACCGATTCCGAGCAACACAAGAAGAAAGAGGTACCAACAAAAACTATTAAGTCAAGCATGACCAAATGGACGAAGGAGAAGGTTGCACTAGTGAGATCCTACATCAACACCTCCGAAGATCCTCAGATTGGTACGTTTTCTTATTTTTTTCGTTTTCAAATTTTTTTTTTTGTTTTTTTGTTATTACGTTAATTTTTTTCCGTTTTTTAAAACTTTTTTTCCTAACAAGTTTTGATTTTATTCATTTTTTAGGGCGTAATCAAACATCGTCAGAATTTTAGACTCACGTTTGGAGACTATTTGTTGAGACAATGGGTCGCGTTCAATGCCGCACAATGACATGATCTCGAGTAAATGGCGAGACATGCAAGCGAAGGAAAATAAATTAGAGAATTTACCTAAATAGGATTAAAACATAATGACTTTCTCAATATAAGACCATATGTTTTTATTTCACAATGTAGGACCATTGGTCATTATCTATTAGTCATTATTTAAGTAAATGTCCACCATCATTGGATATTATTCATCCCACTAGACATTATTAAGTACTCCTTCCGTCCCATTTTATATTGCTTGTTTTGAATTTGTGGCATATTTAAGAAAATGAAAAAATATTGTTGATTTTC